ATTGATAAATGAGGTAATTAGATGTAGGTGTGTACAGTGGGTGACAGAACAACTTAACTCTTATTTCTATAGAGATTTAGTAAGTATAATATAAATGTTGATAGTCTGATTATTTAAATATTTGATTTTTAATTAAATAACATGGCCATGACTGTACTGCATTGGATGGAATCTAAAACTGAGATCCCACCAACCTAAGAATCCCTTGGAAACTTTGTAAGAAAAAGTACTAGTGTATAGTTTGAAACCATTCAATAGCCTAGCCCTTTGAATATTGTCCCATTTTTGCATCTATGAATAATCCTGTTGGATCAGATCTTGGTCCTTGCTACAGCCACTATGAGCTGTCCTAATCAGGCTGATAAGAATTCTCTGAGAGCTGTAGAAGGGTGTTTATAAGAGCATCTCTGCACGCAGGCAATCCTTGGCTAATATAATGGCTCCTGGAGAGCTATTAGCAGCTGATATAGCTAACCTAGGACTGGGGCTTCCTCTTAGGTTCTGTGCCAAGCAAAAGTCAAGAGGACCCAAGAATTGGAAACATTAAACTTGCCCGAACTATTCACATAATGTAGTTTCAGAGGGGTAGCTGTTTTAGTCTGTAACTGAAAAAACTTAGAAAATAGTGAATAGCCTTGCAGCACCTTAGAGACTAACAAAAAATGTAGATGGTATCATGAGCTTTTGTGGGCACAACCACTTCATCTGATGAATGAATGGTTGTGCCCACGAAAGCTCATGATGCCATCTACATTTTTTGTTAGTCTTGCAGCACCTTAGAGACTATTCGTAATTTTTTTAAGGTTTTTCACATTATGTAGGAAGCGTTACATCTGGTAATGCTACAAAACTGGATCTTAAATTAGTAAAACACTTTGTATCCCTCAGTAGAATAAGAACTTATTTTTTATCAACTCCTGATGGTGTCAAGATGTCCATGTACTGAGGCAGACCAGGGACATTGCAGCCCTTTCATTTTAGTTGGATCCTTTTACTAGGAGATAATCAGTTTGTTTTTTCACCTCCTAATTTCCGTTCTATTCCAAAAAAAACTGTATTTCATAATCCTGCCCACTTCTCTTAAATTGAACTTTTATTTTGACCGCATAGTAGTATATATAATATAAGTATATTCAGCTTATATAATAATTCTCCTGTTTCCTTGACAGTGCTTGTTGCCTAAACTTGCTCCCTCCCTTTTTTTTTAACCTTATGTGAACCATTAATTGGAATCCGATGTACCTGGCAGGAGAACAGTTGCAAATGACTCTGTGCTACATCTGTGCTTACTGTGGGCGTGTTTCAATTTTCAAATGCAAATAGAACGTCAGAATAAAATCATAATTTTAGAACATCGTTTTTGCATACTGTTTGTTGCTTCAGTTTACAGTAAGATAAATAGTTCTTCAAAACCCAGGCTTCCCAAAATACCTCTGCGTGGGTGCTAAAATTTTTATTGTACAGTTGTTCTGCATTTCTCTTTGGGGATGGGAATTGTCTGTTTGTTACTTGTATATGGGTTCTCAGACTGGGGATTAGGAACCTTTGCAAGGTTATTATTTGGGGGGTCACATGCTGTCAGGCTCCACCCCCCAAACCCTTCTTTGCGTCCAGCATATGAGTAGTGAACATGATGAAGGTATGTGTTAACTATCTAAACAAGTTTTTTTTTCTAATTTATACAAGGGGTTGCACTCAGAGGCTTCCTGTGTGAAAGGGGTCACTGGTACACAAGTCTGAGAACCACTAGCCTAGCCAATGAGGTCTTGGTCTATGACTGGGGCTTCTAGGTACTACTGGAATACAAATAATAAAGTCAAGTGATGCAGTACTCTCATGTAGAACCTCCAGTTCAGTTCTCAACAAGCAGTAATACTAGAGTATTCAGTGCTTGATTCAAGGTGCTAGTTAGTTGAGTGAGCTTGCTATATGGAAACTTCATTTATAAAAGAGAGAGAAACCAACAGAGGATTTAGAGGCCAACAGGACATGTTTTGGGAGGAACTGGCCTGATGTCCTTTTCTTTCACACATTGCCAAAATACTCCAGTGTACATCTTGCTGACCCCCACCAAAAGAGCCTTAAATTCCCGACTTCAACCTTAGCAACAAGTTTCCTGCTTTGTAACTCTGAAAATCTAATCTCCTCAATCTTTACTCTCTGCTGGAGCTTATCCCCTGTGACATTTTGGTGCGCAAATTTAGCCTTACCCCATAACCACGTCCCCAGCCTCTACTAAAATCCAAAGCACCTAAGGGTAGAATTTAGAACAGAAAAGCTTTGCTGTCAGAAACAGCTCTAATTTGAAAATTGCTACCAGAGCCATTTTAAATTACTCTGTGCATATTGATCACAAACATTTGTCATCTCTTGGGAGGAAGTATTAAAAGCAGGATAAATACAATATCTGTGCCATGGTCTGAAAGCTGAACTTAGTGATCTTGTTTTATAAGAAAATGTCTCATTTGTTTTAAGTGGAAAGAAATAATTAAAAAACCAGTTGCAATGATGCCTTCAGAGCTTTTTGACACCTCGGGGTTTTTTTGGGGGGGGGGAGGTTTCACTATAAATTAATGTATCTAATTTGTTCGGAATGATTTACTCAAAACATAATTGGGGAGTCAAATATTGTTTCTTGATCCGGGGGCAGTTTGTATAGAGCACCTTAGCTATATTTGGAAAACCTCCAAAAGGCACAGCTTTGTTTACAGCTCATAAAAGAGATTAATCCCCAAAACAGGATGTCTCTTTTTCCTTGGCTTTAAGCAATACCGTATAAGACACAAGATGACATTACTTGGGGGACAGTAGTGGAAGAAAGATGCTCTGTCTCTGTTCAGTTATAAAGAGAGGGGAGAGACAGGACCCCAGCTCCACCTACAACTTCGCCCCAGGGAGGGGAGGCTGCAGGGCAGTACACTGAGCGCACCCCAGACTCCACAAACCACCAGAGAGGGGAAGAGAGATGAGGGAGCGTGTACACGCAGCGTGGCTCCCCTACCTTCCCAGAGCACCAGGGGAGGGGAGGAGGCCACAAGGTGCGGCTCCCAGAGCACTGGGGGAGAGAGAAGGCCGCACTGTTCCAGCTTCCCCAGTGCAGGGAGGGTGGGCGCTGGGGGCAGCAACACTCCTATTGCAGGCATTCTGGGGATGGAGTGTGAGCAGGGCTAGGCTGGTGGTTTAGGAAGGCAAAGCCTTCCCCCAACTAAGCCCATCATTTCAGTATTTAAGACATATTGAAATCTTAGATGCTTTAATTGTCTCCCAGTCATAATTAAGCAAAATGATTAAATCTGAACTGCCTGGTTTTGGTTAAACCTGGTAAATAATAATCATAAAATCCTGATCTAAAGCAGCCAGCCAAATAAATGAGACTGGGGTTACCAAATATACCCTGGAAATAATCAAAACTCAATTCTTAACTGACATTGGCCTTATTTTCAAAGGATGCTGAACACCCACAATTCCCACTAAAGTCAACGCAAATGAGACTCAAATCACTGCTGAAAATCAGTAGCTTTTAGCTAGTTAAGTATGAATTACATGCCCACCTTTAAAAATATTGCCATAGTAGGCATCACATCCAAAATGGAAACCACAAATACAATTTAGGGGATGGGCAAAAATACAATAGACGTTATTGCTTGAAATTGCCATGCAGTGTTGCTGGAAAATACGCTTTCTCTGAACTGAAAATCCGAGTTTTTGATCAAACAGAGGTATTGAGAGTTTTATACACTTTGAAATGAGACAGTTCACTGAAAATTAAAATATAGCTGATTCAGACCCCTCATTCTGCCACCTGACATACCTTCGTTCACTTTTATACCCAGTCTCTGTCCCTCAGCTGACAAAGACTTGAAGGTAATGGAGAAGAAACCTACTTAGTCACTGGAGGAGTTATTTGTTTCACCATCACAAATAGTTCTTCTAACAGATCTAACCCCGCTATGAACAAGGATGCCAGCTTTAAGGGATGAATTAGGAAAGATCTGTGGAGACCAGAGAGGAGCATATCCTTGAACCTTCAAACACTTCAATTCAAGCTTGACTCTGTTCACATGAGTAGTCCCATTGGCTTCTGTGGAAAATACTTACAGATGCTTAGATTTACATATGTAAGTGCTAGCAGAGTTGTGGCCCTATGGACATCACAATATTTTGCTTCTAAGACTATGCTGAAATCACAAAGAATTGTGAAGTTTTAATTGAAAGGAATGGGATTTTTTTTATTCGTGTATAGCAATACCTGGCACATTTTGGGGAAGAAGATTAATATCCTCAGCCAGTCTCTGCAATGTTTCTATTCTTGACTAAACATGTTTTCATATATAATTGTCCTTCTTGGGAAGAAGAGTGTTTTACTTGTCAGAACTTGATTGCTTTGACTATGTTTTTAGTAAAATCAGTCAGCATCTTGTTGCTTGGAAATCTGAGTCCAAAAAAATCTAGTTCCAAATGACTGCTGTTGTGAAGTCACTGAACGTGAGAAATGTAGTACACTGTTTTTTAATTAAGATAATAAATGCATATTTTAATAACATTTAGTAAGGATATGGATTTGCATATCCATCCTTAGAAAAGTTCTTATGCTTCCAAATTCAATTCCTTCAGCAATAAAATTGTCATGTATTTCAAGAATTGTAACTCATTACAATTGTAACTGGAAGCTCTTTAGAAAGAGTGCAGGAAGAAAAAATAATACAAATCATGTTTTCTTTTTCTAAAGAAGGTGGGAGTACATGATGAGCCAGCATTGAGACAGTGCAGAAAAGCTCAGTTTACACAGCTGAATTTAAAGCTTTGAATCAATTAGAAATGCACATGGATATGAAAGTGATGATGGAGATGGTTGTATTGTGTTATTTCCACTTTCTGGTGCATTTTCAGCCTTTTTGGGCTTTTGTACATCCTTGGAGGACTCAACCTAGATGACTTTTAATAAAAGGCTAACTGTGGATTTGTTTTCCAGTCATTTAAAATAAATGCTTCTTTCCTAGGGAGTTGAACGCATTGAACTGCCAGGTCTCAAAAGTTTGAGAACTGCTCGTGTTCTTAAGGAAGGCATGGTGCTAACCGTTGAACCAGGCATTTATTTCATTGACCACTTATTGGACCAAGCACTCAATGATCCTTCACAGTCTTGTTTCATCAATAATGAAGTCCTGCAGCGTTTCCAAAGATTTGGTGGGGTGAGTAATTCTTTACTGGGCTAGATAATGTATCAGGCAGATTTTCTGCTTTGTCTTTTCATGAATGTGCAGGAAGATTTGTTTTAGAAAATGTAAAGCATTATGATGGAAACTACTTCTGTAGAGGGCACTTTGTCAGTTGAGTCCCACAGACCAACTGCAGGCTTCTAAATTCATTCTTTAACTCATTCATCTCCAGTTAATTGAAGGCCCATTTTCTTGATACAATGACCTTCCTCCATCCTGCATGTTAAATAGATGGCATATCTACAGGATGAAGTAAATAAATTTACACATTATAACACAAGATACTAAGGTTAATATTTCTGACCTAGTTTCTCCTCAAGTCAGCAACACAAAGAGAAGTGTTCTTTTCTCCTGCTCTGGAATAAGCAAATTACAATTTTGGTGTGTTCCTTAACTCAGCATGGCATTAGTGAAAGACTGAAAAAAAACCTTTGAGATGGATTATAGTTGTCATGATATGAACCCTTGAACAAAGAATGGTGAGCGCATTGGATAAAGTGCACGGTGGATAAGGTGCCTGCCTCAGGAACTTCTACACAGAGAAGTTCAGGGTCTTAATGAGTATGTAAGTTTGACCTTAACTGCTCAAGCTTCTTATTGCAAGGCCTGACTGGTGGACTGTGCATGAAGAAGGATGGCTAGCTCAGGACAGGACATGTGGTATGAGCCTTGTGCCACTACTGACCCAAAATTGTCATTTTCTAGTGGCCATGACTGTGAATAAGCATATAGAGGGCCTCATTCCCACCATGTTGTCTGCGACACTTCTCATGTCACTATATTTATTCTAGAATGTTTTAAAGAGTTAGAAGCCTTTCAAATGTTTCCCATTACCAAAATTAGTATTTTGAAAGGTGTCAGATTGTTACTCTAAAGACTGTCAGTCCTATGTTTTTCCACAATCAAGACACAGCACCAGCACTGGGGGTGGAAGTTTGCCCATGTTGATTTGTCAGTATGTCCTTGAAATAGTGGAGAGACTTTTTAGTTCAGTCTGCACACCTATTCATCTCTTGGGCTTGTCTGCTGAGACTGCCAGCCAGGATTACAGTTAGTGACAATTGTGGTGGAGATTTAGGAATTATCTGTATTGCTACTACCAATTACTTTATCATAATCCATCAAACAATCATCCTCTGGTAACAGCTTCAGCCCTGCTGTTCTAAGCTGGCTTTGAACCACCAACCTAGAAACAAAGGCTCCCTATTCCATTACCAGTCCTCTGAGTCATCCAATCTACTATACATCTGGCTTTACAAGCACTATATCCAAAGTATACAGTCTTATCACATGGTGTGGGACTTTACCCTCTAGTGTTTAATGCTCTTAAGGTAGCTTGGGATGTTATCTTACCTTGTTATTTCTTTTATCAATACTTGCCAGCCAATCACGATACTGCTGAATGAAAAGAGTGTGTCATGTTTAAACTCTGATTGTTCTAACTTTGAGCATGTCATACTGTATTTGACCCTTAAATCTATTTTAAAGGAACACTATAGACACCCTTTCTCAATTTAAAACCACCATAAAAGTAGGTTGAGTTTCCATTTCTTATCCCAAGAACAGATTTTGGGAGCCATTTTATAAATAGATTGAATTCTGGCTCCAGGAGAAAAGTAGGAAAGAAGAGAAAACAGAGCTCTACGTCCACAGTTTCTTGTATTCTATTGGATGTTTTCTAATACAGATGCCGAAGCAGCACCTGCAAAACTTGTGCACATATGCAAGTCCTACAAAAAGGTGTCCAAATGACCTGTGTGTATGACAGCCTCATCACAATTTATGGGTCCAACTGATTTTGAGTCAAAGATGGATTTCTTTGCATTACTATTTTCCTGGGGATAGTCAAGAAATTAAATAATAGATTATTAATTGTGCCAGTAAGGATGGTCTTGAGTCTAAAATACTAGACTGGGACTCAACAAACATAGATTCAGTTCCTTGTTCTGCTACATAGACTTCCTAAGTGATCTTAGGCAAGTTATTTTATCTCTTTGTGTCTCAGTTCCACACCTGCACAATTAAGATCAGTTTCCTTTCTCATGTCCTTTGTCCTGTCTGTTTAGCTTATAAGCCATGTGGGGCAAGGACTGTGTCTTAATGTATATTTATACACTGTATAATACAACATGGCACCAATCTCTCCTGGGTCCTCTAGGTGCTTCCGTAAATACAAATGATTGTCCAATTTACAAAGTCCCTTGTGGTCTTATTTATTGCATGGGAAAGCGTCTCGTTCCCCCAAGGAAAGAGGCAAGCTGACTACCCTAGCTCTCAGAGTATCCTCTCGGCTTATCTTTCACATCTGTCGGGGTCTGACATTTCCATTCCTCATAAGCTGATTACTGATTCAGGCATTTCATGTGTTTTCTCTAAAACCCAGTTAAACCATCCAATTTGATTTTGACCTATTATGTTCACTCTCTGCTTAGCCTTCATATTTTCTCATAGCATTAGATGTTCATTGAGTTAGCGGCCAATCCAGCATGTGTAAACTCTGTGTCTGAAAAACACTGAATCACAAATGAATTTTAAATGGATTTTTAAATGTATATCCTACTTAGATTTGAAATTTGTTCTCATTTCAAAGTAAACAGCACTACATGTTCTGTGACCTTGAAAATATGATAGCATTATTGGATTATTTTTCAAAATGTCAGAGTTTAATTCAGAAATAAACATTAAGTGCAATTAAAATGCAGAAAAAAATCCTTTTTGCACCTATATATATATATAGGGGCATTTAATTGCTTTTGTATTTGGTTCACAAAGCAACACAGTAGTTAATATACTTTTAATTTACATAAGGCTGAACTCGCTTTCTGTGTTTGTGATAAATGGATGTTACAGAATGAAACAGATTACAGGGATTGATTTGAAAAGTGACTCACATAATGCATTAATCCATTATAATCACAATCATGCTTATCTGTGCCTTTAATATTTCATATCATTCAAGTTTAATAGCATCCCAAAAACCTGTTTGTAAAGATTTTGCATAGAAAAGTTGATAGCAATTATGAAATGCACAGTTTTCTCTAAAAACCATTCTAAGCAACCAATTTATATAATGGACTCTAATAATTGACTAAACATTTATTCAACAGCTATTAATTTATTAACTCTTATAAACCATGAAAGAACTATAAATAGAAAGTGTTGCTGAAATGAGGATATGGTATGTGTAGGAAAAGGGAGACTGGTCCAGCTGAGATGATGAGGAAGTATCACTGTGTAGTGATGCTGGAATGTAGGAATGTGGCTGTTTTGATCTTTGGATTTTATATTAGATTGTATTTCTATCTCTAAGATATAACGAGTACTGCAGACTATTGAGTGCTCCGTTGCCATTTTGTGTAAACATATACATTTCTTATGTGATAAACTTATAACCTTAAAAATAACAAGTATGCTGATGTGTGTCAGTAGAATCCATCCCCTTATTTTGATCCATATACTTCTCCAAAGTCCCATCTCAAACTCCTTAAGGCAGACACTCAGGTCCTTTAGCATAAGCACTACAGATTAATTTAATTTGCCTGGTAGTTTTTATGGGCAATATTCTTCTATCATTTCACGGGTGGGATTCCCAGCAACCGTATCCCATGTGACTGTTTTAACCATGTCTGGGGTCTGACATAATGTTAGATTTTAATTGTAGATTAGTCAGAATTGTGTTTTTAGTCCCTTGGAAACTTCAATATAGCATACCCAAAAGAAGTACAGTGCCCTTCACTTGGCAGACAACACAGGACACCCAGCCCTCAGCACATTATATAGCACATAAATGAGCTAGGAAAATAGAGTATTAGGCTAGTTACATATTTAGCTGATGAAAATTATTTAATCCACATCATGTCCTTGGTTTATACCTATGAGACCACTACCGTGGGCCGGATTTGGTCCATGAGTCACACTGTGAAGGTCTGCTGCTGGAGTTACACAATTGTGCAATCTTATCTATATAAATAGGCCATGCCACCACACTTGATAGGAGAGTGGTGTTTGAAGGACACTACCTACATTACTGGTCACTTTGTCTCTCCAGAAATATTTCTGAAACAAATCATTTTGTATTAAAGAGCCTAAAGATGCCTACGGGATATTTTGTACAATGTATCCAAAAGCTAGACTTGTATCTGAAAGCCAGTCACTTGGAATTTACTGGGCAGGTGCACAAGGAAGCTGAATTTAGGGTGAACAAGCAACTATTTTTGGGTATGTCTACACTTGCACCCTCTTTCAAAAGAGGGATGCAAATGAAGACATTCGAAAATTGCAAATGAAGCCGGGATTTAAATATCCTGTGCTTCATTTGCATATTTGCGTTATGGTGCTATTTCGAAATAACAGACACTGTTCAGACACGGTTATTTTGAGAGAAAACCCTTCTCTCGAATAACCCTTATTCCTCATACAATGAGGTTTACCAGTTATTTTGAGAGAAGGGTTTTCTCTCAAAATAACCGCATCTTAACAGCGTCTGTTATTTCAAAATAGCACTATTTTGAAATAGTGCCATAACGCGAATATGCAAATGAAGCACGGTATATTTAACTCCCAGCTTCATTTGCAATTTCGAATGACTTCATTTGCAACCCTGTCTTGAAAGAGGGTGCAGGTGTAGACATGCCCTTTGAATATTTGATTTTGCTGTCTTAATGTCTCTGTGTGTTTGTGTGAAAGAGAGAGATACTCAGAGACACACCCACATGGATCATCAGTAGCTCTGGAACCTTTAGATCCACCACTCAGACTTCTGCCACTTGAGCCAATGAGTTGTCATCTGCTGTGTGGACCATCACTAGGGTGGGATGAAACATACTTTACTAGCAGATTTTGCTGATATTTGCCAACAGCAGAGGAATGGTGAGACTCAGGAACCTTGAGTTCTGTTCCAGGTTCGGGAGGACAGTGTTCTTTAGTACACACAAGCTCTTCTGCCTGTGTGTGTGTGGTTTTTTTTCCCCCTACCTTAAAATAAAAGAGCAAATGACCTGGTCTGCATTGTCCCCTCAAATCTCTTCTTGTACCAATCCTGTCTCTTCTGAACCCTGGTTCCTTGTCTCTGTCCCTTTCTCCTTGCCTACCCAGTCGCCATTCCTCAGGCTTCTTGTCTCAGTCTCTTTGCAGAACCAGTCCTTGTCTCCTCCTTCTGGCTCCTCATCCAGTCTCTCTCTCCCATCCCTTCTTTTTTCCCCTCTCTCACTACTGCCTCCTAGACCTAATCTTTTTCTTGGCTCCTCATCCTAGCTCAGTCTCTCCTCCTGCAATCCTGATTATTTTATCTGAGCCTTTCTGTTCAATCAGTTCTACACTCCCCGGGCAATTGGCTGCAAATTACCCCTCCCATTTCCTTCACTGGTTCCTGGTCTTACCACTCCCCAGTCCAAGCCTCCTTGACCAGCCAGCTTCTTTTTTTGCTTGTTTTTTATCTTTGTGATCCACTGATCAGTTCATAATCAATAAAATACAAATCTTTAGAAATATAAAATCTCTCTCAGATGCATGCACTTACTTGTGCCATGTCATCCACTGCCCTGCTGCAGTTCCAAAGTGTGCTTTTCGGAAAAGACAGAGTAAAAAAAAGATTCACAACCTTTGATTTTACAGCTGTCCAAATCCAATGTGTAAACTCATTTATATAATTCCGCTTTATAAAACACTTTACTTGATACCATTTAAAAGAAATAATCAGGCAACGACATCATTAAACAGTTTAATAAGTCTAGTTGACTCATTTTGTTTGAACAAATGGATTATTTTGCAAGCAGTACAAATGTTAACCAGCTTTATTTTTAGTTTAAAATGTCAAGAGGTCAGAAACAATTAAAGCAACTGTAAGGTGGGAGTCACTGGGGTTTGTGTTCTCTTGGATTGACACCTACTAAAATTGCTTTTATTGCAGCTTAGTGACTTACTAACATTTTTCTGATAAGATAACAGGAATGACTGGGTAGGCATATTTCCTGGTAAAAAGAGATATGGGAAATTAGAATCCAATAGAAAATGGTACAGGCAGTCCCTGGGTTACATACAAGATAGGGACTGTAGGTTTGTTCTTAAGTTGAATTTGTATGTAAGTCGGAACTAGCGTCCAGATTCAGCCGCTGCTGAAACTGACCAGTGCAACTCTGCCTTGGGCTGCCTGTAGTCAGCCGCTGGTCAGTTTCAGCAGCAGCTGACTTGGGGACGCCTGGGGCAGAGCAGCTGGGGTGCTGCCGGGTATTGAATCCCTACTTACAAACGGGGTGAGGCAACCCCGCACTAGCTGCTTCCCCCCCAGCAGACCAGGGAGACGCGAAGCTAGCGCCCCCTCCCCCCAGCAGACCAGGAAGACGCGGGTGGCGGGACCGCCCAGAAGCGCCGCAGTCCCGCCCGCATCCTCTGAGGCTTTGCATCCCGTCTCCCTGGTCTGTTGGGGGGGCGGGGGACCCCCAGCAGACCAGGGAGACGTGGAGCAAAGCCACGGAGCACGCGGGCAGCGGGACAGCCCAGACACGCCACGGGGAGCAAAGCCTCGGAGGTCGCTGGCAGCGGGACAGCTGCGGCACGTCTGGGCTGTCCCGCTGCCCGCGTGCTCCGCGGCTTTGCTCCGCGTCTTCCTGGTCTGCTGGGGGGGCTCTCCCCCCCCCCTCTCCCCCCGCAGACCAGGGAGACGCGGAGCAGCTTTTCTCGCCCGGGAGGACGCGGGCGGTGGGACCGTGGCGCATCTGGGCGTCCCGCCGCTCCCGTCCTCCGGGGCGAGAAAAGCCCCATTCGTAACTGCGGATCCGACATAAGTCAGATCCGCGTAACTCGGGGACTGCCTGTACAAGCTTTTCATTTTAGCAGAACAAGAGCTGGAAATGCTAAGAAAAAAACTGCTACTTTTGTATGCAACTTTAATGTTCAAATGGGTGTGTTTTAGAGGTAATGTTGACGTAAAGGCTGCTAAAAGACTTTGAGCTCAAAGTTCAGTGGTTTGGTGGTTTATTAGGAATGGTGTAATTTATTGTGGACAATTCATTATGAAGCTAATTGTACTTTCCAGAAAAAGATGACAAGTGTGATGTAAAGTGAAAAGAAAGCAACATGGCTGTTGTGAATACAAGTGGGTCAGCATTTGTATGGCACTGTATTAAGGATCAAGTCTGTCTACAGCATAGTTAGACTGAACAAGTTGTGTACTGGAGACATTCCAATGGTATCCAGGGAATGGGTTTGCCTGGTTCCCTTGCTGTCCCTTCCACCAGAGGATTTGGGTTTCTTTGATCCATGTAAGGCCTCTTCCTCACCCCTTCCAAAGTACACCCTAGCTGGTACCCAGCACACCAGGTGTAGATACACTACCTCTGTCATGGCTGCTTTGCCTGCTGCTGGGTTTAAGTGGAGAGTAAGTGACCTTGAGGAACTAGCATGGGCATCTTGATGGACTTCAGTGCCTCTCTTATAGTATTGGAAAGTTCTGCTGCTCACAAAACCTTATTCATCTAAATGAAACTGGGCTTAACATACACTTTACACTCCAGTTGCAGTTGCTGACTGGTGTGTCTCTCACAACACACTAGAATAGACTGGTAACTTTGTGTTCTCTGTAACAGGTACGAATTGAGGATGACATTGCAGTGACAGCCAATGGAATGGAGCTGCTAACGTGTGTCCCACGTACTGTGGAGGAAGTAGAGGCTTTTATGGCAGAAGCCCAAAGCAGCACCAAGTCATTTGACTCCTTGACCAGTCAAAAGTAGTAAAGTCCACAGTGGTTGCTGCCTTTCTCTAACCAGCCATCATTCTGATTTTCCACTACTGCTTATATAATGAAATAAAATGTATCCAATTCTACAAAGCAAATTGAATCAGACAAATCATTAGGCTGGAATGATTACTTTGTTAGAAATGAAGTTAAACAGATTCAGCACTATCCATTCAGGTAGTTTTCAGTCTTTATGCTTGCAATTAATCTATATGACTAAGTGCCAACTGAAAAATACTACAGTATGAACTGGTGAAATTATAAAGCTTTAAAATCTCTGCTTATCTGTATCTTACCTTTTTCCGATCAGATCTGCATTTTGATACCAGTGATTTTTCTAAAGTAACAGATATATTATCTGAATGTTGTCTGTAATCATAAGAAAATTATTTGAAGTCCTATTTTGGAAATTTATAACACAAAGTGTTTTTTGTTAATTGGGAATGGCTGAAAAAATGCCACGCCTGTATTTTTCTTGATATTGATGGAGTGGCCAGAATTACATACATATCTAATAAAAATACTCCCTGAAAATTGTTCATAACTTTGTGTAGATCACTGTCTCCCATTATGTCCCTCTTCCATTACCATTTCTTTAGCTGAGCTTTCTACACATTGCATGCTAATTCCCCAAGTTCTGCGGGTACTGAACCTTCATACACAGACCACTATAGAACAGGTGAGATTTTCAAAACTATATGGTAAAGGATTAATTTAAAATGTGCTTTGATGCTCTATAAATGTGTAATTATTAGAGTTTCCCTGCATACAAGATACTCATTTTCTAGAGGAACATTTCCTTACCATATAGTACATGAATATTTATGAGATTGCCTGCAAGGAAAAGTACATTTTTCACAGAAACAGAATGGCATTACTTACAAATAAACCCAGATCATGTTTCTGTTTTATGAATACACAGTTTAGGCTCTCAGCTCTTCTGGGTGGTGACTTGGCATGTAGTCTGACTACAATATGTCACCAAAACACCTCTTGTGTTATATAAGCAATATGTGAGATTTATTTTAGCCCAAAAAAGGGGGCTAGGTCCAAAGTATATTTAAATTCTTAAAAACAAAATCTTGATCATCTGTTCAGAAACTTCACCTGTGCAGATCTCAGCACCTGTTGTCGATACACTTCAGAATGTTCCAAGCATCATCTTATCACCATCAAGGTCTCAGTTTCACTGAGACGACTGCCAGGCTTCAGGGCCCAGTTTATTACTTACGTTAGACCAAACGTGTGCCACACCATTGCCACAAGCAGACAATCCCAAAGTGGACGGACCAAGAGCTGCCACAATGCCAGAATGATGACTCTGGATATCGGTGCCAAAGTCCCTTTGGCATAGGCACAAGGAGCCTTTTATGTATTTCAGAAATCTGCAGCTTCGTTTCAGACCCTGACTTGTACCCAGCACAGTACAGCCTAGGATCGCGGAATACAACTTAACACACTTTTGGTCCCTTGCCTCCTGTGTGGCATTTTGCTCTCCTCATCAAGCAGCTAGGATCAGGTCTTGGTCTGGAGAAATTTCTTGTGAAAGTGTTAATTGGGTTCCACTGTGCAGCACAAACACACTCACTGAGTCGAGAAGTGACCCACTGGCAAATACAAAATTGTGTTAACTAGTGATTAACCAAACACATGCATTGAAATAGTCGAGACTAAAATACTTTGCTCAGTTAGCTTGATGTCAATTTGTTTTACAAATGTGGAGACTGTATCATCTTGTACAGGTTGGACCTCCCTGGGCCAGCACCCTCAGGACTTGACTCATCCCAAATGAGGGAATTTGCTGGATATAAGGAGGTTCCCTGCCACTGGCTTCCGAGGACACTGCTCCTCCCCCCAGCTGGCTCCATGCCAGCCCCGCTGCTACAGGACTTGGGTTTGGCTCCAGCCCACTGCGGCCAGTCGGCTAGAACTCTCCGGAGATAGAGCTCCCCAGCCACTGTGGCCTTGCTTTTGTCCAGCCCAATCAGGGCTTACTCGGGACAGAGCTCCACAAGTGCCCCACTTGGACGGGGCTTCCTGGGGATGGGGCTCTGCGGCTGCCTCGCTGACTGGGTCTCCCTGGGGCTCTGCAGCTGACTTCCTGCTGCCACACCGGCAGGGTCTCCCCAGGGCTCCACAGTTGCCCCACTGCTGCCACACCAGGATGGGGCTCACCAGTCCTGATGGTGGGGCTCCCTGCCACTGGACTCCCAACCGGTTCGCACTCCTGGGCACCAGGTCTCTTTAGTCCACCAACATCTGTGATCCTGACAGACCACGGACGTTACCGGACCAGAGAGTCCCAGATTTAGGAGATTCAATCTCTAGTGGTAACTCCACTGTAATATGGTTTGTAAAAGGTAAGTCTCATGAGCTCTAAAATGAGGTCTCTGCTCTTCTAAATCATCACTGAGAAGTAGGAGTGAGGCAATGGGGCTTCTTGTGACAATCAGGCATGTCTGTAACTGTGACCTTCCCCTACTTTTTGTGCCTCCTAAAAAACTTTTAGCTACTGAAATGTACCAATGAAAAGGACTCCATTTTTTACTGCAATAAGTTTGTAGCTGCAAGAAAAGATAGTCTGACAGCATTCTAAACTCACATCCATCCAGAAACCTTGACCAGTTTACTCAGTGCAGGACTGCCCATGTCACCATTTCCTGGCCTCAGCCAGAATCTGTATCCCTGAATAAGTCAAAGTACATTTCTATAATCATGCTCTGAACGCACTCATTAGCTCATCTGCTGCCCAGGACACTTTGAAACTCCATTTTTTTTGGTTGTACAGCTTTATTTGAAAGCAGTGTTTTACAGTTTTTAGAAAATACAGTTTTGGATTTGTTTCAACTACAATATAATTTATGTATAGTTATAGGATTCCCTTCCTCTTTGATTAATCTTGGCAGACATTGTTCCCTGCTGCTGTAGAACAGGTTGAGGAAATAGTATTGTAGAAGCCAGAGCTAGTTGTGCTTCAACATGTACCAAAGAACAAATGCTGTGAAATGTTCTGAAAGGAGAGAGAGAAAAATAAATGTCACACATATGACAAATTTATCTTTTATTAAATGTGACCCAGAGGTTTATTTAAGTCTAGTTTTGTTTTCTCGCATTTTTCTTTATAGTCAGGGCTTCATTAATTTTGTCACACAAAAAAAATCTCCCCTTTTCTGCAGAATTCTGCTGTAGAATCATAGCTTTTGTTTATACAAAACTAAGTTTTCTAACCTTTGAGGTTGGGGGAGAGAAGGGGAACCCTTGCAAGGATGAACTGAGTATAATCCATGCAAAGATGTCTGCCCACTCTTCACACACACTGCTCGGTCTGCCACCCAGAGATCGCATTCCTTCACTGACTCACCTTTATTTTGGTGTTGGTGAGGTGTGTAAACACCCTTCTGTTGGAGTAAGTTTCCTATTTTGAGTTGGCATTAAGTGATTTTTTTCCAACTTATAAATTATGGAAATAGGGCACTTTTATTTCTTAAAAAGCCTTCATACTAGAGATATAAAACCTTTCATAGCCCTAGCATTAAATTTTTTGTTTCTTAGATGTGTGAGCTAATATGTTCTTACTGTGTTACCTGGTCAAGGGGAATAGCTCATAACTACAGCTTGCTCATCTCTTCTAGGGTTTTCAAGTGTGTTAGTGATCATGTTTTTATAAACACATTTTCCCCCTAGGGTGGACAAGCCCATAGAGACTTTCACTGAAATAATTAAAGGAATGAATTAAAACCCACTTGGTTATTTTGGTGCAAGTTTGTGTAGCCAAGGCCTTACATGATTTAGTTAAATTGGTACAAAGCCCTTGTGTGGACATTAGGCCTCTTCTACACAAATTTTACTACACCAACCAACTCATCTGATGAAGTGAGCTTTACCCATGAAAGCTCATGATCCTATGTATTTGTTAGTCTCTTACAGTGCCACAGGCCTATGCGTCGCTAAAGTTACAGACTAACATGGCTACCCTTCTGAAACTTTTTTCTTCAGGTAGTTAAAGTCCCTCTACTGTGCATAGTTATACTAGTATAGCTATTCCTGTGCAGGAATGGAATTAACATACATCAGTGTGAAGTGTCTTTAGCCTAGTATAACTGCATCCACACTAGGCATTGCCAGTATAACTATTATGGTAAAAAAAAATCTCACCTCTAACCAGACATTGTTATACTGCTAAAAAGGCTGTATGCAGATCAGGTCTTACATTAGCAGGTCTTAATTTGGTAACTAATCTGAGTCTGCAATCAGCCAATATTAAGTATTTTAAGGGAAAAGTGCCTTGCCTCAACCATCTCAGTAAAATCTGTTGTACTGCAATATTACCTAGATGCAGAGCATTTTGCCACAAAATTTATATCAAGCTTGCCACAGTGTACATGGAACCCTTACAAGTGCACTTATATTATCAGATGGGACTACAGGTTTCTAAGCAAGAGAAGACTGATGCATTATGTTAAATAGACAGCCTGTGCTGTAACATTTGGGAGCAAGTTAAGTAAATTCTTATCTCTGGCTATCTTTTGGAGGATTTAAGGTTGATGCTACTATTCCTTTGACAATAGTTGTGTATTATTTAACTAACAATACATTCAGTACAATCTCTCTTGAAACTGATCCTTCAATTGCATGTAATTTAAAATAATGAGCCTCTGTAGTCTCTTGGGTTACTGGGTCTGTGTACTTAAAGGGGGACACTGAAGTCTGAGCACGTCTTTAGTAAAATAAAGCAAGCGCACAAATTGCTGTTAGGTCACTACACAAGCAAATTACTGTTCAACCCTTTAATAGTAGTTTTAATTTATATTTTAAACTATATTGTCTTGCCTCCACTTGGAATTTGTGGTCAGGGGGGTTTAAAAGTCTGAAATACTCTACTAACTTTTTTGCAACATCATTTAAATAGCTAGATGAGTGTCCAACCCCAGAAGGGCTGCATCTAGAGAAAAAATCTTCAGCTGTCTGAAAAGATGGTAAGTATCACACAGTACCAATACCTGTGATGAATACCACACTGTAAATTCACAAAACACTGTCCAGCATTGCTTACTGGATGAGAGTTGGTAGATAAGGGCCCTTTAAACAGGTAAGAGGCCACCCAGATGCTTAGGCTCCAGTTTTTGTGATACAAAAAACAGTAGCAGATAGTGGGAAAGGACAAAACTAAAGATTTTTAGGTATGGGGAGGAATTATAGCTAAACTGCTGGACTATGTTCACTCTAATCTTTTCCATTCATGTGTGGAATAATTTATGTGCACCAAGGCATGTATGAATGTGAACCACCAATAGAAACACAAAAATGTACCTGCAGACCCTCTGCTATTCATTAGTGCATCTGAATCTCTCCTCAGCAGCTGCACAAATGTACAGCTTACCCAGCAGCAGTGTTCCCTGTCTTATGCTTTCTGAGTCACATGTTAGATCATCAGCGAGGATGTGAAAAGGCATGATTTGATATGAGCCTCAGGCAAAAATAATGGAGTACTCTTTTGTCTCTGTAATACAGAGACAGCTCTTTTCTTCAATGAGGGGGATCACGGAAAAGAGATTCTACCAATTACATTAAAACTGGTGCTCGGTCATGCTGTGGGTGCAGGTAACTTCCAGCCCTATGATTCTATGAAAAGGAAAACTTTGGAAAAAGACTCCATAATTTTCTAGTAAATGCTAAGAGTCAGGAATCTGCATAAATCATGGCATTCTTTGAGGGAAACTCCATGAGTTGGCTATAGCTTTACTTGTGATATGTATAGTGTTTCCAAAACTTACTTAGGCCAACTACAACAATGAAACTGTGTAGTAAGGACTGTAGTAATCTTGCCTCAGATTTTGGCTATGTATCTTGCCTGTTTGCTGCAATTCTACGGGATACAAAGTACAGTGGTTATTCTATAGCACCCACAGCTGGAAAAGAATTATGTCAATAACACTGTAATGAGCATTAATGTTAAAAAATGATAGTGGAAATTAAGGGCTCATCAATTGTGAAGGCAAACACCCACACAATAGTCCTCAAAACACATGCACTTTTGAGACCTTTAAATAAATTCTGCAGTAAAACAATTCTGTCATCTCATTCAATGCAATACAATGGACATTTGGGCAACCTTACAGGAAAGTGAGGGGAGGCATCTCTATAGCAACAGAACCAAATTTTATTTTTAAACATTTTTGGTGCTTGCTACTATAGTCAACTTAAACACAAGGCATTCCACTTCTGAAAAAATAAAGGACCAATGACTTGCTGCAGTGCAGACTAACAGACTTAGTAACTCTGGGCTCGTCTAGACTACATTCCTCTGTTGAAAGAGGGATATAAATGAGCCCGATCGAAAGTGCAAATGAAGCGGAGATTTAAATATCCCGCACTTCATTTGCATATTTGCATCCGATCACTGTTTCGAAAAAGGGTTTTTCAAAAGTGAAACCACAGTTTAGATGGATTCTTCCGGGGGGAAAAAAAACTTTTTCGAAAGAAGCCGTACTCCTCATTTTTTCTGGAGTATGGGTTCTTTCAAAAAAGGGTGGGTTTTTTTTAAAAAAATGCATCTAGACTGCGGTGTCACTTTCAAAAAACCCTTTTTCAAAACAGCGATTGGACATGAATATGCAAATGAAGCATGGGATATTTAAATCCTCACTTCATTTACGCTTTCGATCGGGCTCATTTACATTCCTCTTTCAAGATAGGAATATAGTCTAGATGAGCCCTCTCAATGCTTGCCTTAGCAAAATGCAACTTTTTTAAAAATCTGGTTCTATACTAAAATAGAAAAGTTTCATATTCACTAACGTAAAAATAGCAAATATAGTTTTAATTAATCATACTGTATATCTTAAACTTAATGAACAGTTGGACTGAATTCTGGAGTGTGCAAAAGTATGTAATGTTCAGTTCTGAAATAAAAGGCTAGATTTAATTCACAAAAATACAAGTATTTACACATTGTATAGATTATAATTTATAGAGAGGTATTCAAAGGGCCCTGGGGATGCACTTTACAAAGTAAATATACCAGAGTCTTAGGTTTCTTTCTCTTAGGCTACGTCTACATTGGCAAGATTTTGAGCAAATCCTTTTAACGCAAGAGTTTTTGTGTTAAAGTATTTGCACAAGAGAGCGTCTACACTGGCATGTGCTTTTGCGCAAAAGCATCCGTGCCAGTGTAGACGCTCTCTTGCGCAAGAAAGCTCCGATAGCCATTTTAGCCATCAGGCTTTCTTGCGCATGAAATTCATGTTGCCTGTCTACACTGGCCTCTTGCACAAGAACACTTGTGCAAGAGGGCTTATTCCTGAGCGGGAGCATCATAGTTCTTGTGCAAGAAGCACTGATTTCTTACATTAGAACGTAAGTGTTCTTTCGCAAGAACTCGCGGCCAGTGTAGACACAGCCTAATACTGTAGTGGCATAAAATATCCAGGGGCCTTAAAATGTAAATATAATGTAGACCGACTTTATGTGGCTCTAGCAGTGAAAGGGGGCATTCAAGTGACTTTACTGTAATTGAGAATCAGGCCTCAGGTAGTTAGAAGCTGGCAAGAAAATACCACCAATTCCCTGTTGTGAAAATAGATCCAATATAGAGCCTAAACAGATCCAATCATTTCGACAAGTGCACTGATGCTCAATGGGATGTTTCATAGGTCAGCCATATCAATATGGGTGTGGAGGAGAGCAGGGGAACAAACGGGGGCTTTGCTGCCTGAGTCATTTCTCAGAAAATATTACTAACTTCAGCATTTGTGACTTTTTCATTGTGTAGGCACAACCAGGAAATACTCTCATGGCATGTTTTCCCGCATATTGTTTTTAATACTCTGGCTGCAGTGCAGTTTCAGGGAACTGGATGCTGATCTTAAACTCTAGCAGCTTTTCTGAGAATTGAGACCAAACTGGCTTTTGGACACTTCTTGGACGTATAACTAAATAAAAGGGTTTTTAATAGTAGACAAGGAATGAGGACAGGCATCGTGTGATGCTTCAGAAAATTACTAGCAATCACCAGTGGAGAGCTGATATTCCATATACCAAAAATAAGTCCAGACCCCACGACAACAGAGATTTCCAATGATTGCCAAGTTGCAGCAATCTGAGTTGAACAGTCCTATTTTATGTAAATCACAACCTTTTTATTCCTAGCTCAAACTTAGGGGAAGGGATAGCTCAGTGGTTTGAGCATTGGTCTGCTAAACTCAGGGTTTTGAGCTCAATCTTGAGGGGGCCATTTAGGGATCTGGGGCAAATCTGTCAGGGATGGTGCTTGGTCCTGCCATGAGGGCAGGGGACTGGACTTGATGACCTCTCAAGGTGCATTCCAGCTCTATGAGATGTATATCTCCATATATTATAAAGTAAATGAGTACGCTCATGAGTGATGAGCCTGGGCTCATTGGTTAACCTTCAGGGTTACACAGAGCCGCCACCACACCCTCCTACACTATGGCTGTGTCTACACTGGGCCACTTATTCCAGAAAAGCAGCTGCTTTTCCGGAATAAGCTGTGAGCTGTCTACACTGGTCGCTTGCTTTTCCGGAAAAGCAAGCGACCAGTGTAGACAGCTCACAGCTTATTCCGGAAAAGCAGCTGCTTTTCCGGAATAAGCTGTGAGCTGTCTACACTGGTCGCTTGCTTTTCCGGAAAAGCAAGCGACCAGTGTAGACAGCTCACAGCTTATTCCGGAAAAGCAGCTGCTTTTCCGGAATAAGCTGTGAGCTGTCTACACTGGTCGCTTGCTTTTCCGGAAAAGCATCCTGCCAATGTAGACGTGCTTTTCTGGAAATACTTAACGGAAAAACTGTTCCGTTTTAAGCATTTCCGGAAAAGGGTGCCCGTGTAGACGTAGCCTCCGTATCAGAGGCAGCAGTGGGGGGCAGCCTGCAGCTCCCAAGTGTAACTGCTGAAAATATTCATCTAAATAAATGCATTTTAACATCCCTAGCTCTGACACTGACTTGCTGCAGGTGGCCAATAGACTAATGATCCTAGTGTTCTCTCCAGAAGTACTGAACTTCTCTAGGTCATGTGGTAGACCCCAATGGCAATGCAGGTAATAAAAAAAAAATCAGAACCTGAATCTCTCTGCCTCACTTTCCTAATTTATAACTAAGGGATACCTATCCACATGTGTAAAAAGCTTTGGTTCTCTTAGAAGCTCCATTACAAACTTCCACAATGTTGTCTTTATATGAAAATGCCAGGTTTAATGGATGCAGGAAAAAACAAAAAGGTTAAAATGTTTCAACATGACCATAATGAACTACTAATGTACAAACAAGGTTAGATGAAAAGGATTCTACTCACATCATGTGTGGCCTAACTTAACCCTGTAAGCAGTGATCCTCATTAGGATATTCCAAGAAAGGGTCCCAAGGAAGTTGTAAGCATACAGTAGGGAGGCTCCACCTGGAAAAGAGGCCCTTAGGAAAGAGCACACGCTGCAAAATGCTGTTGCTTCTATTACGCATGAGGGCAAAGAAGAGGCAGCACTAAGGTCAGAGGCAAAACAGTTTTATTAATTTTAACCCTACCTACTTAAGCTATGACTAGAACCAGAAGACTTCTCTGTAAAAGGATTTCCATAAATTAGGGCAATCTGTAAAAGTCTTTCATGGTTGATGACCTTTGCAGTAAAAGTTTAACCTCAAAATAGATTTTTTGACAGTTTTATTGTTTAATTTAGCATCTTACCAAGATCTTACCCAAGTTCTCCTCCTAAATACATAACAATACGCACAATCATACTACAAAGTCAAGTATGGAAACAAGAGGTGTAGGAGAAAAATTAAAATAAGCTTCTAGTTCACTAGCCAGACACACAGGTTATATGTAACACACATACCATAAATGGAACATTTTAAAATGAAAATAAATTAAGGTTATATCAAAGTTCCTGCTTCACTTTTCTAGTTTGACTCCTCAGTATAATACATACTGCTGCATTATGGGTCAAGGTAAGGGACTTACCATCAAATTTAAAAAAATTAAGACAAACTGTTTCATCAAAATAAAACAAGATTCAAGATACTCCTTTGCATGGCAATGGTGTCTCTAGCAAGACTGCTGCATCAGTTATTCGAACTTGGGATATTTCTTTTTAAAATTACTATGGATTTCTGCAGGATAGCAGTTGCTAAACTAAACAGCCATATAATTGATATTGTGGCAGTGGTAGTAAGGATCAAGTAGTCTATACATTGCAATTGAAAAAATGTTCTGCATTAGCCCTTTCATTGCTTTAGTCAATGCATGTACATAGTCGCATCCTGATAGCTGCGTAATGGCAGCAGCTTGATTCTAGTGAGCAATAATTTACAGAACTTAAACATTTTCAGGAGACCAAAACATGATGCTATTAAGGACCCAACGTCACCACATGAGTAATGCTAGCATGTTTAACACAGGCTTAAAGGGGTTATAAAAATAAAATGTTGTTCTACTTAACCTCCTATACATACTTCCAGATAGCCATTTACATGTTGTGAGCCAATTTTCTGTGTACGTCAGTTCTCATACATTACATTACAATGTCTCTCAAAGAATGTAGTAGTCTTTAGAAAACATTAGTAAGCACCCTGGCTCACCATTACTAGGCACTGTTAGTAGGCACTCCCCATTAACTATGATTAAGAGAGATCTAAACTATCTTGGACAAGGGCTTGTGCTACACATTTGAAGCAACTCACCAAAGCAGAAAGCAAATTTCTGTCATGGTGTTAGGGTTATAATACACAATGTAGAAAACAGACTGATTAAGAAATAAATGTTAAAGGACATTTAACATATTTCATCCAATTATCAATTAGTATTACAGTAAAGGCTGTACAGTTGTGCTCCTTGCAACCAAGGTGGGGAACCTTCTTTGGATCATGGGCCACTGACCCACAGAAAAATCAGAAGTCTCACAGATGTGGCCCCCAATGAATAAGCAGAAAAAAGGGGAACACTCACCTCACTCATGCAACTTGGGGCACCAGGGTTTCCCTTGTGCTCCAGCTCCATGGGGGAGTGCCAAGGCTCAAAGCTTTCCCCCAGTGCCAGCTTATCCCTTCTGGGGGCCTGAGGCTAGTAGATTTTAAGAACCCCCCAAGGCACAGGGGGATGGAGCCAAAAATTAGGGGTTCAGTGTGTGGTAGGGAACTTCTGGGGATGAGGATGTAGGCAAGAGGGAGGGTGCAGAAATGGGCTGGAGCCACAGGGTCTGGACAAGAGGTAGGGTGCAGGAATGGGATGGGAATGCAGGGTCTGGGCAAGAGGGAGGGTGCAGGAGCAGGATAGGGATGCAGGGTCTAGGCAGGAGCGGGGTGGGAAGGTGCAAGAGCAGGCTACAGTGTAGGGGGAGAGGGGCACAGGAGCAAACTGTGGGTGGCGGTGTGGAGGTCTGGGCTGGAGGACTACCTGGGGCAGCCAATGGGAGCAACTGGGTAGAGCCTGCAAACCAGTACAGGGACAGATCTTCCTGTGTGTGGCTGTTCCCAGCACAGAGCCGCTTTCTTCCACTGCAAGGCAGAGCCTGTGGGCTGGATTCAGCCCCCCGGCCATAGGTTCCCCATCCCTGCCTTACAATATGTAAAATATAATATGGTGAATGTACATTACTGTAGAAATTCAATTTCACTGATATCAGGCTCCTGATTTTATCCAGTTAGATAATATTTACTTGGTTAAATTATTTTAGCCAAACCTTTTAGAGCAAAGAATATTTAACACTTTAAAAATATATTCAAAACAGTTTACATTTTATTTGTATCAAATCTTCAGTGTTAAACCTAAGAGGAGAAAAAATACCCACAAGATGATGATTAAAATGTTAGACCAGCATTCTTTCTCTGTACTGAATGAGTAGTCAGAGAGGGTTGAAACTCTAATGTTCAGTCCATGAGGTTGTGGAGTATGGGGATTGCATCTACTGTCCAGTGTTATCTGGGTTTGTGGTGGTGTTTTCAGTGCCAAGAGGTTGCACATTGTCTGCAAGATTGTGTGCATGTTCAAGAAACAAATCTTTAAGTACACTAAGCTCCTTTGTCAGGAGCTTAATTTTTGCCTCCAAACGTTCATTTTCTTCTTTTAGCTGGTTGACTCTCTGCAGTGTATCTTGTGCTTTCTGCTTGCTTTTTAAGCGGCTCTTTTTCACTGCCATGTTGTTGCGCTCTCTCCGTTGGCGATATTCATCACTGTTTCTATCCACAGAGGAATTCTTTTTGCCCTGCTTGCTTGGAGGCACAGCTTTGCCTCCACCACCAGGACTAACTGGCACCAGCTGAGGAACCTGTTGCAAACCACTGGTGTGCGCTTGTGTGTGAATCACACTTATCCCGTTTGCTTCTGTAGTGGTGTTCTGCTGTGATGTTTTGCTCATTTGGACAGACTCTTCTTTAACACCACAATATGATTTGTTAGAGTTGGTGAAAAACTGTTAATAGTTTCTATAATATATTGCCAGCAAATCTTCACATGGATCAAGGGCAAGTTGAACCTAACAGAAAAATAAATTCGATGAAACATTTAAAATGCCATGTTCACCTACAATCTTACACCTCACTGGCATTTGCATACACTACTGCTGGTACATCTGGCAAGAACAGCTTACTATACTGGAAACAGAGAACTGCCATTATCAGGATTTCATTTGGGTTGGAAGGGACTGTTAGTGGGTCATATGATCAACCTCAGAGTATCATGACTGAATTAATTCAGTTATTCCACAGACATCCCAGATGTTTAGCCACCCTTTAGCTCCAATTTCATAACCCCTATCTTGGCAACAGGTTTTACTGTCTAACTTTTCTTCCAATTGCAATTTTCTCTTAATTTTCAGACTGAATATTCACTGCTGCAGTTTAAACCTATGATCCTTGACCTCTTTACACTATCCCTCCCTGCATGTACATGCAGACAAGTTTTGCATGAGTCTCATTTTCTCTAGGCTGAATGTATTACAGTATTTTCCAAACCTTTTATCTGCTGTCATTTGAACTTGCTTCACTTGAGTCTGTTTTTTGAAGACTGAGGCCCCCAAACTGAGTTCAGTGTTCCAGTTAAGGCCTAACAATGCTAAATGAGTGAAATACCTTAAGTTAAGTAGCTATTCAAACAAAAAATATTTTCATTTGAGCAAATTACAAAGTTAATTAATGGTTGTTATTAATTAATAATGGTTGTTACCAATTTCAGTTCATAGTACTATGACAAATTGGAGTATCAGTGAAAATGATTAATGAGAAAGTGTTAACATGCTAATTGTTCTTTTTAAGGAGACTAACTAGCCCTGCAAAAAAATACTACAATGCATTCTTGATCACAAACTGTCATCATGGAGGATATCAATGTATGTATAGTAGTAATGGCTGAAAACACACTATTTTCAGTCACTGAACTTCCCAAATAAATTACCTCTTGAGCCAGAATTTCTCTGTTTGTCCTCAGAGCAAAAGTGATTTTTTCTTTCAATCATTTAGATAAATGTAATTGGTCAACTTACTTATAATAAATCTATTTTATATAAGGAGGGGTTTTCTCATTTAAGAAATGTGCAAGATAGTCTTTTAGCAATGAGTCAAGAAACTCTATAGCTAAAGATGAAGAAGCTTTCAAGCTTATCAATAACTTAGGGCTCTGACCCTGCAGTATACACCATTAATTTCAATTACAGCAAAGTTAAGCTCGAAGAGCCCTTACTGAAAATCCAACTTTGTAACAACTCTGTGCATGTAGCTGGAGCACGGCATGCTGAAATACATAGCTACATTTAGTTGAATGATCATATGATGCTCCAATTACACACGTCTAGACTGGTATGATTTTCTGCAAATGCTTTTAACGGAAACGTTTTTCCGTTAAAAGCATTTGCGGAAAAGAGCGTCTAGATTGGCACGGATGCTTTTGCGCAAAAGCACTTTTTGCGGAAAAGCGGCCATGCCAATCTAGACGTGGGTTTGCACAAGAAACCCCCAATCGCCATTTTTGCGATCAGGGCTTTTTTGCGCAAAACAATACCGCGTTGTCTACACTGGCCCTCTTGTGCAAGAGGGCTTTTGCCTGAACGGGAGCAGCATAGTATTTCCGCAAGAACACTGACAATCTTACATGAGATCGTCAGTGTTCTTGTGCAAATTCAAGCGGCCAGTGTAGATAGCTGGCAAGTTTTTCCACAAAAGCAGCTGCTTTTGCGGAAAAACGTGCCAGTCTAGACGCAGCCACTGTGTTGTTATAAAGCAGGGGTGAGGAATTTTTTTGGGACGGGGCCACTGATTCACAGAAATATCAGTTGGGGGCCACACCTGACTGAGAAGGGAAAAGACACTCCCCACATTCCCCTTGCACACCAGAACCTAGGGGGGCGGGCAGTGGCTGGAATACCAGTGTGAGCTCCCTGATGCGTGGATCTGGCCTCCAAGGCTCAGGGCTCCTCTCCCAGCAAGCCAGGGGCCACATCCAGCCCCTGGCCTGAAGTTCTCCACCCGTGTTATAAAGTTATGGTGATTCTCTGTACAGTGAGCCCAGAGTTTGAGAACTATGATGTCATGAGAAACTCTGCTTTCCTAATTAATACTGTCTTTTTTATTACAAGGATCCATTCAGAAAATTCTCCATTTCCTGTTCTCCAACTTCTACTTTAGAGTGAGAGAAGATCACACAGATGTCTGAAAAATCTATAAGTCACTGAATACACAATCTTACCCATCATTTATAAGGACTAGAAAGACCTCACTCACCTTGTGTCTCTAATATCTTGGGACAGAGATGGTTATACCTAAACTTCATTTTCAAATATTTTTTAAATGTACTCAGCAGCCCTCTGTTTTCAAATAATTTAATACAGAAGTTCATTGCACTGCAACTCCCTTCTGATAACAAAAATTACTACATGACCCCAGGAGAAACCCAGAAGCATGAGCACATCCAAGCCCTGTCATCCCAGGAAGAGGGCCAAAGGGCAAGGGCTTTAGCTCAAATCAGGGTGCCTGTAACCTGAGCCCTACCACCCAGAACTAAAGTCAGGGGCTTTTGCTTCAGCCCCAGGATGATGGGACTTGTGCTTTGGCCTTGGGCCCAGCAGTTTAAGTGAGCTCTGATAACGCCATTAAAATCAGGTTGTGACCCAGCCTGGAGTCCCAACTAGGGATGTGAGTGAGTAGTTGACTACTCACATTCCCTCTGCCCCCACTGCCTCTGTATTGGAGGCAGCAGGGGGAAGGGAAGCAGGAGCCGACTTAAAAGCCGATTCCCCTCCTCCCTCCCAGCACCACCTCCATGGTGCCACCTCCCATGCTGCTGCCTCCTGCTAGGACCCTGTTGACAGGGGCTGCTGCTGGAACAGCCTCTGCCCACAGCCAGAATAGGCCACTATGGACAGGGGATGCTCCGGCTGGGCAGGGAGCCCAGCTCAGTCCCAGCTCACGCTGTGTCCAGGAAGTACCTCAACTGCAGCTCTGTAGTTTAAACATAGTGGAAACCAGGCTGTCTGCCCACCCAACTCCTACTACATTTAAGATGCAGAGCTACAGCAGGGGCAGCTCTTGGACATGGCATGAACCAGGACTCAGCCAGACTTGCTCAGTCCCAGCTCACGCTGGGTCCGGGAACTATCCACTGCTGCGGCTCTGCAGTTTAAAGGTAGTAAGAGCTGGGTGGGTGGGCAGCCTGGCTCTTCCTACATTTAAACTGCAGAACCACAGAGGGGTAGCCCCCAGACTTGGCACAAGCCAGAACTAAGCACTTCTTCCCTTATCCACTAAATTTTATCAACTATACAATTAGCGAATTACCCACCACTTAACATCCTTAGTCCCGACACAGTTTGAGAACCAGAGAATCAAAACTCTGTTCACAAGAAGATACATAATTTCTCTCCTGTATACGCTAGATTCTTCATAAACCAACCCAGGACATGAAAACTGAAAGTAAGAGATAAGTATCACAATCAGTTGTGCCCATAAAAGAGGCAGGATATATAGTACATGTGTGCGAAATCCAGGAAAACCAGATTTCATCCAAGTGCCAGGTATGTACAAACAGCATACATGCCATGTGAAGTATGTAACAGTGATATTAAGAGAACCTAACAAGCTGAGGCAACTGAGCCTGCAAACACAAGTTGTGTATAAAAAACACACACCACCACCTCGGGGAGACTCACAAGTACTGACAGTTCAAAAACAGGACTGATCTCTATTCATGTTGGATTAAAGGAAAATACCATTTTTGAATAAAATGACCAGTTACTAACACAAGACCTGATTGTTTAGGCATAGCACAACAGATTGATTATCTGACTCCTGCACACAGATAATAGATCAACACAGATGGTTGTAAATGAGACACTGAGCTTATTAATGTCTGCTGTAAGAGTAAAGACAAATGTGTATCTTCAGGGCTATAGTCTGTCTATACGAAGGACTGTTTCCCTTATTGTGGTGTCCCTGTTTTTTCTTAACTGGCTTAGTTCAGTCACCAGAAAGTCATATATGTCAATTTTCACATGGGAAAGGAAGGTGATGTGCAACTCCATACCAATATAAAGAGTTCATTTGAGAATTCCTGTCTTTTACTGACTAGTAATTATAATTACAATATTTAGCCCTTGCACAGTACTTTTCATCCATGGCTGTCAAAAGACTTTAAAAAGGATGTCAGTATTATTATCCCTCATAGCCTGAGGGAGAGAGATGGGTCAGCCGCAGCCTCAGCCTGGCCCAACCTGCTTTCCCCTCCCCCCACCTGGGGGGGGAGAGCCAGGGCTGCCTACCCCCAGAGAGGGAGGTTGGCGAGCAGGGATCTGTGCCCCCTAGTAAACTTAAAAGTTAATTTACTTTTCAGTATTTATAACTTTTCCTCTGACTCAGATAACAGTAAGTTTATTTTTTCATTTATAGTAAGTTTCATTTTCAAGTTACCAACGTTCAGATTGTAAACAATACAAGGGACTTTTTTTTAATCAACTCTTTCGTTTCCACTTGTAATATTTTTAAATTTACAAAAACATTTGAAAAGCCTCCAATGATCTAAATTTGTGGCTACAATGAGAGAATCCCTGTAAAAGTGTCACTCAAAAGAACTACTCTATTCTAACTATATATTTTCATCCCTTTTCTACATGTTACTTGTGATGTTGAAGAGTCTGCAGATCAGGGTTCTTAGGTGGTAACTTTGCTGAAATACAGAAGTACATACGTTTCTAAACAGCCATACATACGTTCCCGCTAAAACCTTTTCATAAGTTTCCCAATCCTTTGACAAAACCATGGGTCTTCACCTTTAACTTCCAAGGCTCTGTCATTGTAAACTATGAAAACCTTACAAATATAAAGGATTTTTTAAAAGTACCTTTTCCTCACACACGATACTTTTTTAAAATTCCTGTTTGTTTTTAAAGTTATGTTTACTTCCCGTTTGACTTTAAACAGTGCTGTTTACAATGTTGGTTTCCGCCAGGAAGTCAGTATAACACAGCACCCAACAGGAAAGGAAGAGGGCTTCATTCTAAACACCAAGGATTATATTCTTCTTCAGAAACTATTTTGATCTCTCTTAAAAGAAAGATAAAGGAATCACTTAATACAGTAGCTAATACATCATGATGTGCATAAATATGAACAATAGATATTTTTATTAATATGCTGTGCTCCTAGCCCACCTTGCTGGTGTCTTTGAATGACGGGATCTTCCATTTCCAAAAAGGCCCAATAAAAGCTTGTGTACGGCAACTACACATTTTGCAAACAAATTAACTTGCTGCAGCGGTTATTCGATTTTGTGCTCTAGGCCTCAATCATCCTCTTGTTGATTTCTAGGTCACTATTTACACTTCTCTTAGCATGAGGGTATGTGGCTGTAGCTCTCTCCCTCTGCCCTTACTGCTGCCTCACTGGGAACTAGGCAGGGAGGAGGGCCTGTCACTCCCCCACCAGGAAGCAGGCTGGCTACTAGGGGAGCAGAGGCCTGTCTCCCTCTCCCCGGGCTCCCCTCTCCGTGCCAAGCATGACTTCATCCCATCGGGGAGGAGAGTTGCCTGGAGATTGCATCATACGCTCTCCACGCGAGCGTAACCGTGAGGAAAGTCCCGGCCTCCCCC